TGAGACTCTAGATTGGGATACCATATACATCGAATGATTGAAGTTGTCAAATCAAGCCGGCGGCAATGCTTAATTACATATATATCAAATAGCCGATCTAGTTTCCCTCCATTATTTTTTTAATACATGTTTAACTATTATTTTCATCTGCGAGATTCAAAATTTTATTATTGAAACTCACTTATAATCATGTTATGCTTGAAACTTTCTTAAAACTAGGTCATGAAGTTTTCAACTCATGCATGTGAGTGGGAACGGGGTTCGTCAAGAGTCCTAAAAGTTGCTTGGTCCACATGAGCGATTCCCGTAGAATGTTAGAGCGATATGACGCCCAACACTCACGGAATCCAATCGGGTTTATGATAGTTATTCAAACCCAGTGATGAGATTGCTTTTTCAAATGACCAAAAAAAAGATGATAATATGGGAATTGGCATTTAATATGATATAATTTTCTTTTTTAAACGAACTGAATAATATGATTCCTGGGTTCTAACCGATTTTTAGTTTTATAACATAACAAAATGAAAATTAAGCTAAGGCATATATGGGTAAGACATGCTCTTTTTCTCTTTGTCTGACAGTACTATTTTCTTAGATTTATTTCTCATTGTCTATATAATACGTGTATAGTAAATAATGATTTTACAAATATATTTTCTTTGTGAATATCCCAAGAATTCAGATTTTTTTAGCATTTTTATTTATAATTATAAACTAAAGGTTCGTATTGACAAGTATTATGGCTTGCTCGAATTCCCACTGGCGCTTTTTATTGAGCAATATCGAGGCTATTTGGTCTATCGCAGGAAGGCATTTTGCGGTGGCTGTCTCTCCCTCCTACAAGTAGTCAAATCAAGCCGTACGCAGCATGTGAAGGAGCTTAAAATCTGGGTTGTACAAGTCTTCGATCAAAGCATGAAAAAGGGTTGGTCAATATTGTCCTGAAAGAATTGCTTGGACAAGATCATTAACAATCCGTACAATATTTCAAGGGATGGAATCTAATCATGGGTTTGATTGTTCAAACATGCAAACTAATTAGCAATGATTTATAAGCTCATATTTTCTAATTAAGATGAAAACTCATTCTAATTAAGGTAAATAATTGGAATGTACCTACCGCCACATATTCTCATTGCAAGACTATAAAGGGATCCAAAACTAATCTAGTTTAATGTGTGAAACGTCTTAAGATAACCGAATAATATATGTATTTTCATTGTCTTTTATCATGTTCATGCATAACTTGTTTATAGTGTAAAATTTTTCAAATTTGTACCTACCAGCTTGGAAACAGATCCCTATTAGGGTCATACATCTTTGTTTCATTAATTAAAGTTAATTTATAATTTAAAAGAAAAGGGATATATGATCCAGCAAGTGATATTTCATTTATTGTTTTGCATTAATTCAATGTCGTGATTAGTTTTAGGACAAAAAGTTAGAATTATTTATTTTTTCTTCGCAACAATGGTAAAGTTTGAATACAAATTTAATTAATATTTTTATCATATATTCATTTAAGTAAATATGATACTTTCATATTTATATTCACTTTTTATTACTAATTAAAATTACATAAACATACTTGTAGCGTCTTTTTATATAGTATATAAACCATAGATAGGAAAGCTATTCAAAGAGTGTATAGTTCTAGCTTGATTTTATTTTCACCTTTTCTCTTTCTTTTCATACAACTTATTTTTATATATTTAATAATTTATATTACATAATAGCAGTCATTGATGGAGCCATTTTTGTCAGTGGGCGGCCATTTATGCTACAATTTTCCATCAAAAAATTATACTAAATTTTTTTTTTGTGTTAGGATGAATAATAAAAAAGTACCATGTTGTTTAAGGCATAATAAATATGTCCCATGAAATTTAAAATCTGACAACATAACTATCTGGTATATTTTTCTTAAAATTTTTTTGACACCATTAGAAATAAAATTATAACTAGAATATCTCTAATTTATTAAATTAATATTAATAATATATTAAAACTCAAAAACTTAAACTTTTTTTTTAAAATTTAGTTTTTATTATTGCAAGAAGCCTTAAGTTAAACTAAAGGTTATTGACTTATTGATTACATAAGGAACATAAGTGGAAATATATAACCCCAAAGCATCTAGGAAAATCTAGACTAGGAGATTTCTAGCTATCCTAGACAAAAGCATCAACATGTATACACCAATTTCCAGCCAGCAGAGTACGTGTTGTTCCATCACTTGGCATTTTATGGGAACACATCTGGAAGCTCTACTGTTCTTGGTACACTTTCGTTCGCAAGCATGTCGGCGTCACTATTAGCTTCAAATAGGATATGGGTTATTTTTCATTGCCATGTATTGTATTTTTCGGTCAAAAAATTTCAGCAGTTCTATATTAGTGTACTTTCTTTTATTTAGTTTTTTTATTTAAAATTGAAAGACTTTAATTTTTTTAATTTAAAAAATTATTTCAATTTTATTTTTCATATATTTTTTAAAAATATTATAAAATTTAATCTCTTTATTCAAAATCGTAACAGTTTAATCTCTTGATTTTATAAATTACATCAATTTTGTTCTTTAGTCATTCTATTCAAAATCGTAACAGTTTAATCTCTTGATTTTATAAATTAGATCAATTTTGTTTTTTAGTCATTCTATTCAAAATCGTAACAGTTTAATCTCTTGATTTATTATATTTATTCAAAATCGTAACAGTTTAATCTCTTTATTTTAGGGATTATTTCAATTTTATCCTGATTGTTTTCTCCAAAATTATTGTGAAATTTAGTTTCTCTATTCAAAATCACAATAGTTTAATCCCTTGATTTGTTTTCTTCAATCACTTTATTCAAAATCGTAACAGTTTAGTCTGTTGATTTATTTTTTTTATTCAAAATCGTAACAGTTTAATCTCTTGATTTTATAAATTATTTCAAATTTATCCTCATCGTTTTTTTAAAATTATTATAAAATTTAGTCATTCTTTTCAAAATCACAACAGTTAAAAATTATTATGAAATTTAATCTCTCTATTCAAAATGGTAACAATTTAATCTCTCTAAGTTCTTATTTTTGTTTATATATTGCTTTTACTTTTTCTTTTCTTTTCTTCCCTCATATTATCGCTTTTTTTGTTTTCTTTCTCCCCATACCTTCTCCCTTAAAGACCGATGACCAGCAACTTGTTTTTGGTGACCATTGGTCGACGATTGGTGGGCGGTGGCAACATTTGGTGACTGGCAACCAATTCTCAATGGAGAAGGTGAGAGGAGAGAGAAAAAATGAAAAAA